CAGTGCAAGATTGGGAACAACCCAAGAATGCTTTTGAGATATGTAGTTTCTTAGGGTTGGCCGGGTATTACCGTCGGTTCATGAAGGATTTCTCTAGGCTAGCCTCACCATTGACTAGATTGACAAGGAAGGGAGTTAAATTTGTGTGGAATGAGACTTGTGAGAAGTCGTTCCAAGAGCTCAAGGTTAGACTTACCACTGCTCCAGTATTGATTATTCTGGAGAGGGGTTTGGGCTATTTGGTATATTACGATGCCTCACCGGAAGGCTTGGGTAGTGTTTTGATGCAAGAAGGGAAGGTAGTAGCCTATGACTCGCGCCAATTGAAAACAGATGAGATGAATTACCCTACTCATGACCTAGAGTTAGTGGCGGTGATTTTTGCCTTAAAGATTTGGAGGCATTATTTGTATGATGAGAAGTTTGAAGTGTTTTCTGATCACAAGAGTCTGAAGTATCTGTTTACATAGAAAGACTTAAATCTGAGGCAGAGGAGGTGGATGGAATTTATAGAGGATTATGACTTTGAGTTACATTATCACCCAGGAAAGGCAAATGTTGTAGCCGATGCCTTGAGTAGGAAATCAATTAGCAGTGTAACTTATATTGCCATCCGAAAATGGGAGATGTTGAGTGCTATTGGGGAGTTTGACTTGCATCTTGGTGAGTCTGTTGAGTCTATCGTTTTGTTTTCGGTAGTTGTGCAACCTATATTTGTGAACGGAGTGATAGAAGCACAGAAAGGTGACCTTAAGGCAAAATCCCTCCTGGAGAAGATCTCCAGTGAGAAGGTAGAAAAAGGCTTGAATGTGTATCTCGACCTCAGTGTAAGGTACCGTGATCGTTTGTTCGTACCGGAGTCTTACTAAAAGGAAATACTCCAAAAGTTTCACCATTCACGCCTTGCAATGCATCTGGGAGACACAAAGATATATCACGATCTTAGTCGCCAGTTTTGGTGGAGAAGTATGCAGAAGGATGTGGCCGTGTTTGTTTCAAAATACCTTACTTGTCAACAAATGAAGGCCGAACATCAGAGGCCAGCGAGTTCGTTGCAACCCTTGCCTATAGCCGAGTGGAACCGAGAACATGTCACGATGGATTTTGTTGTAGTCTTTCCGAGGACTCAACGAGGTAGTGATTTTATTTGGGTGGTAGTTGACTGGTTGACTAAGTTAGTGGACTTTATACCTCTGCGCGTAAGTGACTCGGTAGACTTTTTTGCCGACTTATACATTAGGGACATAGTGAGATTGCACAGGGTCCCAGTGACAATTGCATCAGATAGAGATCTACGTTTTGCGGCCCAGTTGTGGCAGAGCCTACAGAGTACCATGGGCACTAAATTGACTTTTAGCACCGCGTATTATCCTCAGATTGATGGGTAGTTCGAGCGTACTATTTAGATCCTTGAGGATATGCTTCAGGGTTGTGTCCTTGACTTCAAGGAGTCGTGGGAGAGGCACTTGCCCTTAGTGCAGTTTGCATATAACAATAGCTTCCAGTTGAGTATTGGTATGGCACCGTTTGAGGCCTTGTATGGCCGACCGTGTAGATCTCCTGTGTGTTGGGTCGAGGTGGTGATGCACCTATGTTGGGTGCAGAATTGGTCCAAGAAACAACGGAGAAAGTTGCACTTATCCGTAAGAGGTTGGCTACAACCCAGAGTCACCAAAAGAGTTATGCTGACCGTAGGAAGAAACCTTTGTCCTTTGAGGTGGGAGATCATGTCTTTTTAAAGATATAACCTATGAGGGGTTTGATGAGGTTTGAAAAGAGTAGGAAGTTGTCCCTTCGATTCATTGGGCCTTTTGAGCTTTGAGAGGATTGAAGAGGTAGCTTATCGTTTGGCATTACCGCCATAGCTTTTCAGAATTCATGATGTGTCTCATATTAACATGCTTCGGAAGTATGATCCGGATCCATCGCACATGTTAGATTGGACCGACTTAGAGGTAGATGAGGATGTCTCTTATAAGGAGAGACCAGTGAGAGTCTTAGATACCTGGGAACAAGTCTTGCGAGGCAAGACGATTCCCTTGGTGAAAGTATTGTGGAAACATCACGGGGTTGAAGAAATAATTTGGGAACGCGAGTTGGAAGTCTGTGAGAAATATCCGAACTTATTTGTTGATGTTTGAACATGTAATGGAAATTTGTTATGTGAATAGAATATGAAAATATTGTATATGCTTTGAATGTATGAGAACATTGTATATATTGAATATGTAACACAGGCTTAATCTAAACATTGTGTATATTGTTTTTGGAAATGCGAATTTATTATAAACATTGAATATGTTTTGGAAATGTGAAATGTATATTCAGTATAGAGAATTTGTTCATCATATGTTAGGATTGAATGACCGGTGAATGGGTCATGATGTTGGAGTTAATTTGTAATCATTGTGGTAATTGGTTAAGACTTGGTTTTTGAAACTCAATTTGAAATTTCGGGGATGAAATTCTTTAAGGATGGAGGTTATAGCTATTCCGACTTTGATCTGATCCATTTGATATCCTGGAGCTTGGGTTTTACGGTTTCCAAGTGTTGTTCATGTCTTTTCCCCTTTATTTTTGCTTGAGTTTGGTGATTGTGTTGGCTGGAGCATGTTGGAACAGGTTGGTTGCTTTGTTTTCAAACTTTTGTTGCCCAGGTTTTTGCTCTTCTTACGCTCGAGTGGGCTTTGCAAACTCTCAGTACTTTTGCAGGTCTACAAAACTACTGTGAGAGAGTATTCTACGCTTGAGCAGTTCTTTCTACGCTCGAGCAGTCATTCTTGCACTCGAGCGATGGTTTGTCCTCTGCAAAACTACTGGGTGTGTTTATCCTATGCTCGAGCGGACATTTTTTGTGCTCGAGCGGAACAACTTATTATGTCTAGAGCTCGAGTATTAACTCTTGCACTAGAGCGGACTGTACGTATATCAGTTCTCAGCAGCCTACTTTTTCATCACTTTTTCATCTCTTTTCTCTCAAAAACCCTAAATGGGGACTTTCTCTAAATCTATCATTCTCTTTACATTTTCACTTAGATCTAGTGATCTCTCTACTCGTGTGCCTTTGTTAAAAAGGTAGAACATCTTAAGAACTCCGTTTTGATCCGAGTAAAAGTTGATTTCAGTGTCTTTGAAATTTCTTCATCTCTCCCTTTGGTCTTCTAAGCTTGAGGTAAGGACTTTCTATACTCTCTATGAGTTTTAACTTGGTTATTCCTTGGTGTGTGAGAAACATTAGGTTTTGAGGTAATTTTAACAAACCTAGGGTTTGGGTTTAAATTCAAAAGAGGGGTTTTAAAAAGGATGTCTTGGAAATGATCATGGGACTAAGAATGAACTTGTGTTGTGTTAAAATAGATGATTTGGTGGTTGGGATGAGATTTGGAAGGAGACGGAGTTTTGTCCTAAAATGTTCAAGTAATTATTTTGTATAAATAATGAAATTGGAAATGGGAATATGAAATTTGATGAATGTTTATATAAATGGTAAAGTTGGATGTGTATCATCTCCCACCTATGAAAATTTGAATAATTTATCTGTTAAGAAGATTGTTTATCTGTTTAGAAACATTTGTTTTGGGCTATCGGTGGAAGATAGCTGCGATTATTGTAGAAATTGTATGATGATTAGGTAAATTGAAACTAATCTCTTATTGATTGTCATTGAATATGAATGTGTTTAATACATTGTATACATTTGATGTTTGAGAGGAGAAAGTGGATGGACTCCATTGAACTAAGTTGGCCTGTGCGTCTAGGGTGAAAGTCCCGAAAACATTGTGCATACATGGGTGCTGATTCTCGCGGATGAAATTTCTGTAAAATGGCAATTTGAAGTGTTTATGTATAACGGTTGTGTGGTACGAAAACCACTGAGTTTTAATCTCAGTTGGGTTGTCTAGGTAACAATGGATATGACTCACGAATTGAGGAGATATGAAATGACACTAAACGAATTGATATGATATGGATTTGGGTAGAAGAGTTGTAAATGATTTTTATTTTGAACATTGGCCAGGTGTATCATGTTTATAACCTTGTTAAAATTCATATATTGTGCTAGATTGTTTCTGTTGGGTTTTGCCTCACCCTATTTGGGAAAAAATCATTTTCAGGTGTCGGTGATATGCCTCTGCCAAGACAGTAGCTTGAAGGGATTGGGAGCAAGAGCTTCTGTTTTGTTATATTTGTTTTTGTATAGCCAAAGGCTCTGTATTATGTTGAGCTAGGCTCACTTTTGTTGTAACCAAAAACTATCTTAGAAAAATGTAAGCCCATAGAGCATTTATTTCGTTAATCATTTAGTTTGGTGTCACATGCTATAGATTCAAGGTAGAGCTTATGAATGTGTAATGCATGTGTCCTTTTGTAAATAAACTCTGATTAATGAAAGCCAAATACTCTGTTTATGTCATTTTTGTATTAGTCTTTACTGTTGAATTATTGTATTATTTTTAGGGATGTGACAATGAAAGCCACAAATTCCCATAAAAATTTTTTTTTTGAAATGCACGGAAAGCCAGCTCAGTGCTGCTGCATGTGTAAGGAAGGGCAACCCGGTAATTTTGATATTTGCTACAATATTTCATTAAGTGTTTTTTCGAAAAAAGTCAAAAAATTATTCCAAACATACATTTTTTCTTTATTTTTTTAGCTAAAAAGTCAAAAAATACACCTACATAGATCATCCCAAACAACCACTTAGTCTCTCTACCATAGTCAGTATCCCTCCAATTTGACTAAAAGTTCACTTTAGTTCCTCCATCAATTTTCAAAACGGTGTTATATAATTGGACCCAAGTTACTCAAAATTTAGTAGTAGTCTAGGACAATTGAAATATCTAGGGGGTGAGAGTGTAAATTACCGAAGTACAAATTGTAATTTCTCCTTTTATTATTATTATTATTATTATTATTATTATTATTATTTTCAAAATTGATATGGGCATGCCTGTTATTTATGTGTGGGTTGTCATCACAGTTAGCCAAACAATCAAAGCTAGCTCAAGCTTGTTAGAAATTCAGTGCAATGGCTCTTAGCCTTGTATTTCCCATCTCTCTTCATAGTACTGCCACTCTACGACATCCAAGTCCTGCCTCACAATTAGCACCCATTCATGGCCGATCCCTGCGTGCCATTCGATGCATTGTTGATGCTGATGGACCTTGCAATCAAAGGTCAACAGACGATCCGCCAACTACCGACCTCCCATTTGGGACTATGACTATCTGCAGTCACTTAACAGTAAATATGTGGTATATATAGTTACTATTGTTATATATACTCTGCTTGATTAGTGGATGCAAATCGATGGCAATTGCTAACAAAAAAATTATTTTTGTACGGAGATGTATATGAAAAAAGGGCTGCAAAGTTGAAGGAACATGTGAAGATAATGCTTGAGAAAGTAGTGGATGAGGATCCATTGGATGCACTTGAGATGATTGATGACTTGCAAAGGCTTGGAGTGTTCTATCACTTAGAGAGAGTACTTGACAGCATATACAACATGAATGATGTGTGCAACAATGAGGATTTGCATGCTACAGCTCTCAAATTTAGGCTTTTGAGACAACATGGGTACAATGTCCCTCAAGGTACTTCAATGATTTCCTCACTCCATATATGTCAAAAATTTAAGGGTTAATTACACTTAGCAACTCTTCACTTTCACCCTAATCTCACTTTAATTCATTCACTTTCAATTATGACAGTCAATTCTTTATACTTTAAGTTAAGTTGCAGTGTCAACCCATCCGCGCATCTACCATTATTAAGGTTGATGAAAACTAAAAGTTAAGGGATCAAAGTGAGATTTTGATGAAAGTATAAGAGTTTTAATGAGACCAAAAAAGAAAAAAATGTCACGTTAGCACATGACAAATTCCATTAGCCTTATTAATGGTAGATAGGCAAAGGGATGACATTGCAACTTGACTTACAATATATGAGGTTAATTGTCACAATTAAAAGTGAAAGCCAAAATGAGAGGATAGTGAAAATGTAGAGGTGCTAAGTGTAATTAACTCAAAATTTAAAGACGAAACACACACACACCACCCCCCAAAAAAGAAAATGAAAAAAGAAAATAATAATAATAAATAAAGTAAATAAATGAGAAGCAAAAAAACTTTAAACGATTGGACATTGATGCTATGAATTGTATATCTTTGTGTCCAGCAGAGATCGAAAACTCAAATACAAAAATATATATATATATATATATATCAAGAAAAATAGTGTGATCCAAATTTATTCTAATTGTGATTTGAACATGAATCACGCACTATTTTTCTCGATATATATATATATATATTTCGTATTTGAGCTCATAGTCCCTAGTATACTAATTAATAGTTTGCTTGAGTTGCAGACGTTTTTAAAAAATTTACGGACGAGACGGGGAATTTGAGGTCTTGTCTTTGTGAGATTACAAAGGGACTACTATATTTGTATGAAGCCTCATATCTTTCAATTGATGGTGAAAGTTTATTAAATGAGGCCAGGGATTTCACAACTAGGAATCTCAAAGAAAACCTCAAGAAGAAGGATATTGATCAAAATCTCGCCATGCTAGTTAGACATTCCTTGGAGCTTCCCCTACATTGGAGGGTGCGAAGGCTAGAGGCAAGATGGTTCATTGATGTGTATGAGAAAAGACAAGATATGAATCCTATATTGCTTGAGCTTGCAAAATTAGATTTTAACATGGTGCAAGCAATTCACCAGCAAGAAGTAAAACAAATGTCAAGGTCAGAAATGTTCCCAATTTTCGTTATGTAGTAAGGGTGCAGCCATATAAGTCACCATATATATATGTATGTATGTTGTATTTCATATACCTTATGTAATGTTCTTTTCCTTGTTATGAATATAGGTGGTGGAGGAGTACATGTTTGGGAAAAAAGTTGAGCTTTGCTAGAGATAGGTTGATGGAGAGTTTTTTATGGCCTCTGGGAATGAATTTTGAGCCTCAATTTGGATACTTTAGGAGAATGTCCACGAAGGTCTGCACACTGATGACAATAATAGATGATGTCTATGATGTGTATGGTTCATTGGAGGAACTTGAACTATTTACCAATGCCGTTGAGAGGTTGGTTGATGGGAAAATGGTTGTGTCAATACCATCTGCATTAATTTGCATGCTTCTTAGCTATATATCTTTAACATGAAAATACTTCTTTTTTCTTTTTAACTTTTAGGTGGGATATCAGTGCAATGGAACAACTTCCAGACTATATGAAGATATGCTTCCTCACTTTATTCAACTCTACTAATGAAATGGCTTATGATGCACTTAAGGAACAAGGATTGCACATCATTTCACACCTAAAGAAAGTGGTATCATTTTCTTTATGAACTATTTTTTTTCCCCCCCAACTTTGCTACAAATAAAAAAGGATAAATTATAAACACACCCTTTGAAATTTACTCAAATTGCAAATTATCCTTTGTAATTCTAGAAATTACATTATACCTCTTAAAATTTCTAATTTCATAACAAATAAGTCATTTTGTTAATAAATCATCAAATTTTATTAATAAATCATCAAGTTAATTAATAGTTTTTAATAATATTAAAATTTTATTTTAATTAATAATTCAAATAATTTTATTATTGTATAGGTAAACAGTTAAAATTTCACTTTTTTAATTAATTCTATTAAATAAAAAATTCTGACATGGAGGTATTTGTAATTTTCCAAATCACAGAGAGCAATTCTTATTTTAAGCAAACCTCAGGAAGTGTATTTGTAATTTATCCAATAAATAAATACATTACAAAAAAAAAAAAAAAGGAGAAAAAATGATGAGTTAATTAAACTAAGACTCCTTTAACTATTAGTGAATATCACTTTACCTTCCTCATCTACGAACCTGTACATGTTGATCTCTTGAAATTTTTTAAAAAAAAAAAAACTCTTTTCTTTTTTCTTTTTCTTTTTTAGATCATATTCAAAGTAAATTTAAATGTCGTTAATTTTCTGTAGTTTTTTCGATTAATTGACCATTCTAAATGCTTTAGTGGGCAGATATTTGTAAATCTTATTTATTGGAGGCAAAGTGGTACTACAACGGATATACACCAACAAAAAAAATATATTTTATTTTATAGCTATAATGAATCATTATAAGCGTTATACGCAAATATATATACACTTGAAATATATTTTATTTTCAGAGCATCGATGACTTAAAACAGCTAAAATAAAATTCACTACACCTTATATCAAAAACATAAGAAAAGGTAAAATAATAAAGCAAAGACCACAACAGAGCGAATATCCTCTGTTCAAAAAAAAAAAAAAAAAAAAAAAAAAAAAAAAAAAAAAAAAAAAAAAAAAAAAAATAAAAAAAAAAAAAAAAATAGACGCAAGGGAGGGTGGGTGGACTTCCCAACACCCACCATTGTGTTTATTGGCTCACACACTCACCCTTTTGTCTCTTTTTTTTTGGACTCTTTTCTTTTTATTTTTCTTTTTTAGATCATATTCAAAGTAAATTTAAATGTCCTTAAGTTTTTGTAGTCTTTTCGATTAATTGACCATTCTAAATGCTTTAGTGGGCAGATCTTTGTAAATCTTATTTATTGGAGGCAAAGTGGTACTACAACGGATATACACCAACCTTTGAAGAATATATGAAAAATGCATGGATTTCGGTATCGGGTCCTGTTTTCCTAGTACATGCTTATTGTTTTGATTCTAAATCAGTAACAAAGGAGGCATCGGAATGCTTATTAGACAGTTATCCAAATATAATTCGCTGGTCATCAATTATTGTACGACTTTCAGATGACTTAGGAACATCATCGGTAAGTGAGTTACACACCCATTGTATCTTCATAAAGAGGTTCGTTAGGGCTGTATGTTTGGATCCTGGGAAAAAATGGGGAGGGAGGGAAGAAGGATTAAGAATAACAATTCTCTTTAAAGCATTGTTCAACAATTTTCCTTTCCTATTCAATTATTTTCAATATTCAAACAATATTGAAGACAATTTCTTGGTTTAAGAATTAAACTGTGTTTGACCATATGTTATTCATTCTGTTTGATTCAGGACGAGTTACAAAGAGGCGATGTCCCTAAATCAATCCAATGCTATATGCATGAAACTGGGGCCTCTGAAAACGATGCCCGTGAACACATGAAAATACTTGATTGGTGAGACATGGAAAAAGATGAATGAAGATGGAGCTGCAAATTCTCTCTTCACTAAGGATTTTTTTGGGATTGCAATGAACCTTGCTAGTATGTCTCAGTGCATGTATCAGTATGGAGATGGGCTTGGTGCTCCAGGCAAAGAGAATAAATATCTTGTCTTGTCATTAGTAAATCCTATTCCCCTTCTGTAGACAAGGGATTAAATACTCTTATCAACTCAATCCTTCATTTCAATTAAGTACTATGTTTTTTTCGAAAACATCATTTCAGTGCCTAAAACCAGAAAACCAATAACTAGAGCCTCAATTTAAGGCATTGCATAAAGGATTCCTATTTCATGGAAAGCATACAAAAGAAACTAGAAAATGAATGAATTCAAAGCCTTGGTTCCATCTAGAGCATTTCCAACCAACTAAGCATATAATGCCTATTAGTTAAAATACCTAATATAACTTAATTTTTTCAAATCCAATTGACTAGGTATACGATCATTAGGTATTTTGATTTTAACTCACATTCATTAGCTAAATGTAGCTAGTCTTCAAAGACTAGGCAACATCTATTTGACCCTTGTGATCATTTTCCTCCATATTTGTTGTTAATGTAGCATTTCAAAAATTGAGTAATATTTGAATGAATAGTTAAAATAAAAAGTTAAGGTTGAAGTGAAACATAAAAAAAATGAATTGGCAAAATAATATATATATATATATATATATAATAGTAACTTTTAAATAAGTAAAATGCTTAATAGCATTGGAGATGCTCTAAGCAACCTTGGATATCCATGATAGTATCTTCCTTAATTTTTACTGTAAATGGGCCACAGAAGCAAACATCCCTCCTTGAAGTTTGTCTTCAATAGAACTTTTGTATTGTGTTACATTTTTTATGATTAGGGATGCAAATTCGGCCCAACCCAGCCCACAATTAGGCATGGGTTTGGATTTGGGCCGGGCAGGGCCTAACTAATTTTTTCTATCAAAATAGTTTGAAAAATGACATTGGGCCTTGAGGGTATCGGGTCTCGGACGAGCCTTGGAATGGGCCGGTGGGTTAGGCCTCAAAACACAACTTAGGCTCAGAGTCACAGACTAAGCTCGGGCCTGGGCAGGCCATTCCGGGCTGCGAACAGGCTATTGGTGGGCCAGGGCCCAATTTTACACCCCTACTTGTTGTGATCTTTCCTCCCTTTTGAATTGTACTTTCTTCATGGTTGGAATTTTTTTTTTTTTGGGGTATATGAATTCAATGTTCTTTGCAAGTTGGGCAAAATTCTGAGTCTTGTTTGTGTTGTGCAAATATATCCAAACTAGCCCAGAGCTGATGGCTCTCTTGTATTGGTTTGAACTAACATTGGACATCCTAATCCTAGTGGCTTTTGGGAGCCAAGGAGCCAAGACTAGCAGAAATTATCATATAAATCCATAATACAACTTAATAATATGTCTAACTAACGGTGTTTTATAATTTACTCACATTATTCTTATTTTTGTGGACCATGTAAGCACAAACAATAATTTACCTGAAATTACCATGTAAGCACATTATTTAAATTAAAACCTACCTTTCAATTTTAACTTGCAGTGATAAAGATTAATCAACTACAATTAATAATAACGATGACACAATAGTTAATATGAAAAACCCAATTAAAAAAAATCTCTAAACGGGAAAAAAATAGAAGAAAAAAAATCACGATCACAATGCTCAATAAAAATCTACTATAATGAATCAAGAGTACAAGACATAGATGAAGGACTTACAACCACTCACCTAGCTTTACCTATCTCCCATGTCTAGATGAACTTCTCCGAATGCAGCCTAACCCCATCAGCCTTCTTGATCTATAGGACACCATGAAGCTCCATCGATCATCAACCTCCATTCTTGAACGACTCTGATTACCACACCGACCGCACGTGACAGAACAATGCAATGCAATGATATGAGGACTTTTTTTATAACAAAAATCACTTAGAAAATTGTCATAAAAAATATGAATCAATCTCAAAATATTTTTAGTAAAAGAAAATGGTTGTACTTAAAATGGATTATGAAGAGATTATATAAAAATTTAGAATATCATATCCAAATAAGGAATTTTCTTAGTTTCACTTGAGTAGTAGACCATTCCAGTGGCCGCCATTATATGAATCCGGATCCTCAGTCGCCTTTGCCTGTGGCCTTTTCCTGTAGCGCCCCAAAACGACGTCGTTTTGGGGCAACTTTTCAAAAAAAAAAATGGAAAAAAGAAGAACGGAGGGAAGAACCCATTAATGGCGTCGAATACAGGAGAAAAAATTTTGATTGAAATTTTTTCTGTTTTTTTTGGGTCGTTTTGGGGCAACTTTTCATGGAAAAAAAAAAAAAAACTCAGAAACAGAGAGAGAGGGAAGAAGATGGCTATCACAAGAGGAAAAAAAAATTTTTCCTTTTTTTTTGGATCGTTTTGGGGCAACTTTTCATGAAAAAAAAAAAAAAAACAGAGAGAGAGGGAAGAAGATGGCTATCACAGGAGGGATTTTTTTTTTTCCTTTTTTTCTGGGTCGTTTTGGGGCAACTTTTCATGGAAAAAACAAACAAACAAATAAACAAACTCAGAAACAGAGAGAAAGAGGGAAGAAGATGGCTATCACAGGAGGATTTTTTTTTTTTCCCTTTTTTTCTGGGTCGTTTTGGGGCAACTTTTCATGGAAAAAAAAAAAAAAAAAACTCAGAAACAGAGAGAAAGAGGGAAGAAGATGGCAGGCAAACCAGGAAGAAGAAGAAGAATAAGAAAGAAGAAGAGGAAAAAGAAAACCAGCAAACCCGGCCTCATGTCCTTCTTCATCCGCTTCATCCGTGCTCCTCTCCGCTGCTTTCTTTCATCTTCCCCCTTCCCTTTCTGAGTTTTGCTCTGTTTTTTTTTTTTCTTGAAAAGTTGTCGTTTTGGGGCGCTACAAGAAAGGCCCACAGGCAAAGGCGACCGAGGATCCGGATTCGCCATTATATGTTACAAAATGTCCACTCAAGTGATGGATCGTCTGTTGATAACGATTGCAGGCCGCTGATAAAATCAGTCAAAAGGATTTGAATCACAATTGAGAGGATATAAATAATTTTTTTTGATATTTATTTGCGTTAAATTAGTTTTTATTTTTTCAAAAGTTAAATATGGTAACAATTTTGATATCAACCAATCCATTAAATCAAATAATTCAAAACTAAAAGCATTTCATATATTAAACATATTGATTATACATTAAAAGCCTAATAATCATCCATTATATTATAACTATAAAAAAATATCTGTTAATAACAAATACAACCATATATTACAAGATAACCATCTAAAAATATCAACAAAAATAATCACCCATTATATGATAATTATCCAAACACATACTAAAAATTAATTTTTGATAAAAAAAAATTAAAATATAAAAGATTTATCATTTTTATATAATTTTATTTTGGTGAGTAGAAATAATTTATATAAATTGAAAAATAATTTTTTGACATTTATTTTTATCAAGTTATTTTATATTTTATCAAATTGATGACTTTGTTCTTGAAATGGAGCAACAATGTGTTCAATTATCCTTATTTGAAACAAGATTCGAAGTTCAAGATCAAATGTATTACAATTGAAAGATGAGGGATCAAAGTGACTCAAACCACAAACTACATGACCATTAGTGCAATTCGACCTTTAATAAATATATTGTTTTGACTTTAAAAAAATGTGAAATATGATAGATGGGTGATATGATTCAAATAAGATTAAAAAATATGTGTTATTCTAGTATATCCCAAACAAGGCATATAGTCATATTAACAAACCCCCCCCCCCCAAAAAAAAAAAAAACCAAAGAAAAATACAATTTTTTTACGGAAATTTATCAGAGATCTCTACAAAAATTAATTATAACTTCATAAAAAAGCATATGATTATATTTTTCAATATTTA